CGCGCGGGGGGCAGCGTTTGCCCGCGCACGCGAAGAGGGAATCAGGGAGTGAGGGGGAGAGGTGAAACGGGACAAGAGCGGAAAACGGGCAGCAAATTGGGGGAGAGATGAAGGTGGCGGTGAAACGCGCGTTTGTCGCGTGGTGCACGCGTGCGTTTGCGCGGTCTGCGCGGCGCGTGCATGCGCGCGCGTTGCCGGCGCACGCGCGCGTGCATATGCCTGCGAAGGTGGCGCGCGTGCGTGGATGTGGCGCGCGTCTGCCGGCGCGCGCAGCGCGCGCGTGCGCGCGCAGTGTCTGCGAGCGCGCGCGCGCCCGTTGGCGACGGGGGCGCCCCCAGCGACCTGGGTCGGCGGCGCTGGCCGATAGCCAGAACAATAATCTACGAACGCGTCCGCCCTCTGACAGCTGTCGACCAGTCTTCCGCTCGAGTTCTTCGCGCGGCCCCGCCGCGCAGAGGAACCTTTCTGCAGTTCCCGCGTCTCGGCCCAATCCCCGGAGGCGAGGGGGTCGTCGACCCACTCCTCTCTGTCTGCTTTGACGGACGCCTTGACCATGCCGCGAAGTCATATGTCTCTGTTATGATACCGGAGAAAAACCTCAATCCGATTTTTCTGATATTCCAACTGCCCCCCCCCCGTAGGGCTATAGGGCTATCGGGCTATAGTGCTATAGGGCTATCGGGCTGTAGGGTTATAGGGCTATAGGGCTATCGGGCTATCGGGCTATAGGGCCATTGGGCTATAGGAATGTGGCCTATAGGGCTACAGGGCTATAGGTCTATGGGGCTATAGAGCTACATGGGCTATGGGGCTATAGGGCTATAGGGACATAAGGCTATTAGGGCTGTAGGGATATAAGGCTATAGGGCTGCAGGGCTATAGGGCTATACTATAAGGCAATAAGGCAATAAGGCTATAGGGCTACTGGGCTGTTGGGCTACTGGGCACCCCCCCAGCCCCCGGGCACCCCCGGGCAACCGGGCACCCCCCAGCGCCTGGGCGCCGGGGCACCCGGGCCCGGCCACCGACATCGGCCACGCACCTCACCGGCCACCCAGGCACCCGGGCACCGCCGGGCACCCGGGCACCCACCGCCGGGCACCCGGGCACCCAGGCGCCCGGGCCCGGGCACCGAAATCGGCGACAAACCTCACCTAACCCTTGAATCCGCTAGGACCCCTACAGAGGCAAGCTCTGATTGGGGAAACATTTCCATTCCACTATGCTTACCCTCTGCGCGATCGGCTTCAGGGTCGCACTGCTGAACCGCGGTCGATGGCGAGTTGCCGGAAGTGTAGGCAGGCATTATCCAGCAGCGCGCTCGGGGGCAACTACATCGCTGCGTTCAGTTCATCTGAAATACACTGGCCCGAATCTAAGCCTGCCATTTTGCCCGAGAACGCGGCGCTGAAATCGCCGACCACACCGCTGCCAGACAGCGCCTGCGAACCCGGCGTCTCCCTTCGCCCCCAGGCGGTTGTCTCAGCGCCCAAGCGCGCGCAGCAGAGGGGCGGGCAACTGCGGGGCGCAAGGGTCGCGCCCCCACGGCTGCGAACATCGCTGACGGGCGGCTGCCGGCCCTCAGGAGTAGAGAATCGACGCGGCCACAAAGTTCTGGGCGAAGTGGATCGGGAGACTTGGAAACGACGTTGCAGCGCGTCATTAGCGCTTCCGGCGGGCGGTCGAACAACGCATTGCTGACCAGTGGCCCGCGTGCCCCGCGAAGCTCGAGCAGCGGGCTGCAGTTCGGATCACGCCGCGCAGACGGGCAGCCGGATACGCGCGGCCCGCCGCGCGGCAAATCGCACGGGAACTGCCGGCGCAGCCTGACATTGAAAGCCCCGAGAAGCACCGGCCCCCTACGTCCACAGATGTCTCGCAGAAGGGTGCCGAGAGACTGGTAGCATTCCCTTCGGGCCTCCCGCGGCCCGCCGCAGCGCGGGGCGCGAATGCTGGGCGTCGGCGCCCTGCCGCGACGAGCGCGCAGCTTCACCGCGAGCGCCCTAGACGATGCCACTCTGGATCCGACGACGGTTGCACGCGCTGCGGAGATATCAGAAAACGAACCCCCGCTGTCTCCCGGTCGTTCGCGTCGAGCACCAGAAGATATCTGGAGTCAGTGACCTCGCGCGTTGATCCCGGCTTGTAGCCCTTCCGCGCTCCGCGGCCCTAGTGCGACGTCTTCCCTGCAGGGGCGCAACGGCCCACCGCGGCGATGGAAATCTTCTGCGCGGCTGCCATCGCGGCCACCCGCGCCCCCGACGCGCGCGCTCACGCTGTCGCGAGTTCGCAGAGCATGCGGGCCCACGACGGCAGCGTCGACTCTTGGCGCCGTTGAATCACTCGAGGGGAACCCTTTCGCATTCCCCTGGGGCCGCCTGCCCCTGGGCAGGGCCCCCCCCGGAGCCCCCCTTCGATTGGCCTTTCGCGCCGGCTGCCGCCCTGGATGCGATCCCCGCGCACTTCGCCCTCAGCTCGACGATCGGCCCGCGCTGGCACAGCTCGCCCCGAGAAACCCACTCGCCCTTCCAATCGCACTCAGCCCGGGCCTTCGCGACGTTCGCCGCGAGGGAATGCCCCCGCCCGTTGCGACCGCGCACAGCGCCTCGTCAGTAATCGAGATCACGCGTGGCACCTGCCATTCCGTCTTCAAAAATGCGCCCGAGGCCGAAATGCATTTCCCTGGCCGCGCGCTCAGGGGCGGCGTGGCCCTGATTCGCCCAGGCTCGCATGTTTCCACTTCGCGGGCCAGCACCCCGAAGAGCTCCGCAGGTCGGCCGCGATCGCAGGAGCCTCCGAGCGGCGCACATCTCCATCGGCAGCGGGGCCCCCAGCGACGAGCGCTCGCCGTTCAACCGCGCGGTCGCCAGCTCGAGATCCGAGGGGCCCTCCAAGTTGCCAACGACCGCGGCGGCGGCCTTGCTCTCCGCGCCTGATCCTGTCGACGTGCCGGCGCACGCAGGGGCGCGGGCGAAGTCCTTCGCGTCGTCCTCGATGCCCGCCTGGATCTCCCTCGCCAGCACGTCCGCGCCCATGGCGGGGCGCTGCGGCAGGTCGCTGCGCGGGCTCTCCAGCTTCTCGACGCGGACGTCGGCAACGGTCCTGCGCTGCTCGCGGAATTCGAGGCACTCGGAGAGGTTCGCATTCAAGTCGGCGACGCTGCCGCGCATGCCCCGCACCTCTTCGCGCAGCCCGTCCAGCGCCAACGTCGCGGGCCGCAGAGTTGCCGCGATCCCTGCCGCGGTCACCGACTGGCCCTCGCCCATCCCCGCGTCGAAGTCCGGCTGCCTGAAAGGGCGGTCGCTCTGCAACTCCTGCTGCTGCCGCCCCCTGTCGCGCGCGCGCTGGCAACCGTCGCCCGGGAGGAGAGGGTGGTAGCCGAGGCGTTTTAGACCGGGCAGGTCGGGGCGGATGGGCCCGGACCGGCACGGGCCGCTTTCTCGCCGGGCCCCTTCATCTTCTCCCACGGGTCCATCTTCCTCCACGGGTCGCGCCTCATCAACAAGTCCCTGACGCGCGCCAGCCGACCAGCCGCGGGTCGGAACAAGCGACTCCGAGATGATGTCGGCGAACTCCCTCTGCGACTCCACGGCTGCGCTCGCGAGGCTAGAAGCTGGGGCCGCGCTGGAAGCCCGCCGGGCCTGGGCAGGCTCGGACTGCAGGGGTCGCGGAGGAAGTGCCCTAAGAGGGGGGGGGAGCAATTTCGTCAACGAGCGCCGCTTGGGCCTGGGATTTTGAACCAGCGTCTCGGGCACGGAAAAATGAGCAGGAACATCAGACAGAACCGCCCAATGGCCCAAGAGGGCGACAAGACGCCCAGGATGGCCTTAAGACGCTCCGCGGGGGCCCCGAAGAGGCCCGGACGGGGCCCGGAGGGGCCCAAGGGGGGCCGAACCCAAACCCCCCGGCCGAACCGAACCGGCCGAACAGGACCGAACCGGCCGAACCGAGCAGCCGAACCGGACCGCCGAACCGAACCAGCCGAACCCGACCGGATGGACCGAACCGGACAGCGATCTGAACGGGACTGGCCGAACCGACACGAAGGCGCGCCGAAGCGGACCGAACCGAACCGGGGTCATCATGCAAAAGCGACAGATGCGCAAATGACGCCACCCGGAAAGGCGAAGTCTCGCTTGGCTCCCCGCACCACTGCCCTCCGCAGGAACATCCCGTGAGCTCACGAGAAGTGGCGAGGGAGAGAAATAGTTCGGGTCTCCGTAGGACCACTCCGCTGGAACCCCTGGAGCTTACGAAAAGGCTGCTACTTGGGCAATTTGCAGCCCAGTAGGACACCGCGAGGTCTCGTCTGGATGCGCGTGGGGCGCAGTTCAGCCTCTAAGGAACCCACGCGAGTGGCGACAGTAGCGCAGTTAGCAGCCCCTTCGGGGAGCTCGAGCTCTCGTCTAAATGCGTTTGGGGCGTAGCTCCACTGGTCTTCCCAGGAAAGAACCAAAGAAACGACAATAGCGCACTTAGCAGCCCCCGTCCAACGAGCGCGAGTTCTCGTCTGGATGCGTGAGGCACTCCACTCCGCTCGACCTCGCAGGAGCCCACGAAACTGGCAACGGTTGCGCAGAGGGCAGCCAGGGAGCGTGGGGTCTCGTTTGGATACGCGTGGGGCGTAGCACTGGACCTCCTAGGATCTCCTGGGAGCCCCACAGGGAGCGCGAGGTCTCGCCTGGATGCGCGTGGTGCGCAAATCTGCTGGACTTACAAGGAGTTCATACAAGTGGCGACACTTGCGCAGTTGGCAGTACCTTTAAGAAGCCAGAAGGTCCAAGGCACGCAGGGGACAGGAGAAAGGAGCAGAAGGGGAGGAGGTGGAAGGAGAAGAAGGATGGAGACCAACAGTGCTTCATTCAAAACGAGGACCCAAGACAAGGGAGGGATAAGTGGGACACCCACGAATAAAACTAATTGAGCGCAATAGGAAAGGATCGGGAAGTGTAGAAAACCAACACCCTGTTCAGATGTAACAGTGCGGACCCTCTCGGCACCTCGCGTCCGTCAAGTTCGGGTCGGGCGGCCACTTGTCCTGAGCGGGGCCCCGACGGGCGACGTCGAAAACGCTAAGAGGCCATCGGAAGCCCACCCAGGACGATGAAAGCCCTTCCACATATGGCACCCAAAGCAGCTCCCAGGACAAACCAAGGCACGCGGTTTCGTCTCAGAGTTTGCCTGGACCGGATGACACTCGTACGCATCACCTTGTCGCAGAGCTGCTGCTGGGAGGACGCGTGCATCCCCAGGCAATGCGGATGAGGAGGGGGTGGCGCGCAGCTTCCAAGAGGGCCTCCAGAGCCCTGGGGTGGGGTCCTGAAAGCCAATCGGCCCGTGCGGCGCCGCACCCCTGGGGCCCCGCCGGCATCCGGCACCCAGGGCGTCGTGGCGTTGCCTTGGAAGGGCGCCGAGGCGTTGTCCATGTCCAGGTCCTCCTCCGGCGCCAGGCGCGTCCTCCTGGCCCGGGCACGTTCCCCCCCCTCGGGCTCTAGTCCACGCGCAACGCTCACCTGTCCACCGCCTCTCTTCCATCGGCTCCGCCCACTGGTGGTTCGATCATAAAACCGATCCCAACCACTTCGGACCGTTCAGGAACCACTTCGGACTGATTACAACCACTGGAAACGAAGTGACAGCAACGTGTGCGATTCTTATCGTAAACCCTACAAGGCGCATGCCAGGTTACAACCAGGGAACCTGGCTTCAACTTCCCAGGGCTTGAAGCATTCCTGAAGGAG